AGACCAGCCTGGGCAACATGGAGAGACCCTGTCTCTCTCTAAAAAAAAAAAAAAAAAAAAAAAAAGCCGAGCATGGTGGCTCACGCCTGTAATCCCAGCTTTTTGGGAGTCTGAGGCGGGCAGATCACCTGAGGTCAGGAGTTCAAGGCCAGCCTGACCAATATGGTGAAACCCTATCTCTACCAAAAATATAAAAAATTAGCCGGGTGTGGCGGTGCGCACCTGTAATCCCAGTTACTTGGGAAACTGAGGCAGGAGAATCGCTTGAACCCGGGAGGCGGAGGTTGCAGTGAACCGAACTGAGATGGAGCCACTGCACTCCAGCCTGGGTGACAGAGTGAGACTCTGTCTCAAAAAATAATAATAAATAAATAAAAGGGGTCTGATCAGGACTCTGGGTTTTCAGACACCTCGTAACCCCAAGTCCCAGGGTTTGTGGGGGCGCTGGTTAATTCGCATCTCATTTGAATGCTCCGTAGTCCTTTTTGCCTGGAGGGCGCCCCCGCCCCCTCTAGCCGCCAGGGGGCGCAAGAGGCAAAGCGTTGGCGGGAAGCTCGGCCTCCAAGCGGTCATTGTCTGCAGTCCTGGCTGGCCCCGCTGGGCACACTGTGACCCTCCACCCTTTTTCACTCTATATGCTGTCGCTCCCATTTTTCAGAGAGCAAACAGGTTCTGAGAGGCCAGAGGGCTCTGAGAACAAGAGCTCACAGCCTCCGTTGTCAGGGTGGAGGGCAAGGGCGCTCCTAGAGCTCCCTCAATAGCATTTACTGGCCAGGCGCTGTGGCTCACACCTGTAATCCCAGCGCTTTTGGGAAGCCGAGGTGGGCGGATCACTTGACGTCAGGAGTTGGAGACCAGCCTGGCCAACATGGTGAAACCTCGTCTCTACTGAAAATATAAAAATTAGCTGGGTGTGGTGCCCACCTGTAATCCCACTTACTCTGGAGGCTGAGGCAGGAGAATCGCTTGAGCCCGGGAGGTTGCAGTGAGCCGAGATCACGCCACTGCACTCCAGCCTGGGCGACAGAGGTAGACTCCATTTCAAAAACAACCAGCTGGGCACGGTGGGTCACACCTGTAATCCCAGCACTTTGGGAGCCCAAGGCGGGTGGATCACGAGGTCAGGTGATCAAGACCATTCTGGTCAACATGGTGAAACCCTATCTCTACTAAAAATACAAAAATTATCTGGATGTGGTGGTGCACACCTGTAATCCTAGCTACTTGGTAGGTTGAGGCAGGAGAATGGCTTGAACCCGGGAGGCGGAGGTTGTGCCACTGCACTCCAGCCTGGCTACAGAGCAAGACTCTGTCTCAAAAAAAAAAAAAAGCATTTACTTCCGGCAGAGCTCCAGAGATGGGTGGGCAGCTAGAAGAGACAGCTCTCTGTGCCATGAGGCATCCAAACAAGAGCGTAGCGCTCCCGAGGCTGGAGATCACCAAGAAAGGATCCCAACCCTGATCTGCAGATGGGGTAAAAGGAGACCCATAGAGGGCAGCGACCTGCCCCCTGCTTCATCCACAGTGGTCAGGACAAGAATCAGACTTCTGCTGGGTTTTTGTCCTTCGCCCTTGGTCTGAGTCCTTGTTTTTATTTCAGACCTGCTCTGGGTTCCTGGAGAGTCCTGCACACTCAGGACCCTGGAAAGCCTTTTTTTTTTTTTTTT